AGATTTTACGAACTGTTGGAAGATTGGAAGCTCCAACCCAGTTACCATGTCAATTAGCCTCTTGCTGATTTATGAATTCAATGCAGTCTCGGTCAACATCCCAGCAAGATTCTTCGTAGACACCAATAAGGCTGATTCTAAAATTTATGTGCAAGGAGAGGAACTAGGTTAGCCAAGACGATGCTGAAAAAGAAGAAAGTTGGAGGACTCATACTACCCAACTTTAGGATGTAGTGTAAGCACACTGGGGCCAACACAGTAAAATATTGGTGAAAGAATAGACTTGTTTCAATGGAACAGAAAACAGACCAGATTTTTTTTTTTTTACAAAGGTACAAAGGTGACCCAATGAAGAAAAGATAGAATTTTAAACAAATGGTGTGGGAACAAACAGACCCTTCTATTAAAAATAAAATAACTTCAAACTATATCTCACAGCATACGTAAAAATGAGCTCTAAGTGGGTCACCTGTGTACACGGTCAGTTACCCACATGCAAGCACCCGTGTCTGATGTGTCCAAGCATGTGTTGTGGGGGAGGCAGAGAGGGGTATCTACGGGAAATCTGAGTAAAGTTTCAGAGGGATGGACAGTAACATTTGGAAACTCCAGCCCACTTACAAGAAGGGGAACTACAGGGGTAGATGAACTAGCTATTTTCCATTTTAAAAGGAAGTCTGTAAATTTCACAAGCACAAGAGAGTTTCAGCTTTGGAGCTTTTGAATAGATCACTTAGTTGAATGTTTACATGTGAGTGACTGGTAAAATTCAGCATTCTATCTCTCCAAGCAGAACAAGCCAGTTTGCACAAACAAACAAACAAACAAAAAGAAGAAAGGCATCTATCATCATGGATAAATCTGAATATTTCAAATAGATAACATCAAAATAGATGGATGTTTTAGAGCCCATCCAGGGTTCTATAATACTCTGGAAACTTGATGAATTAACAGGTTACCTGCTCTTTTATTCTCTAGTTATCTGGATTTTCACTTTTGATCACTAGAAATGTTTATACAAATAAAAACCCTCACAGGCATTCATAAAAAGCTAGGGACAATTTTGCCTAGTTTCTGGTTCTGTCTCATCCTGGAAATGAGGACAGCACTTCCTGTTTTCACATGCTGAGGCACAGCACAGGGCCTGGTATGGAGTGGGCATAACTATCACTGCTGATGCTATTATCAATGTATCCTTTTTCAAATATATTATTAAGCTGGAAAATCTAATAAAACTTTTCAGAGCTTCATTCCTTCGGAAGATTTGCTTTTGGGAACTTTTGTGTCATAGCAAGGGAACTCATAATTCTTAAAAGGTTGTTTCTGTATTGCAAACGATAAATAGGAAGCCGCAATTTATAGGGCCCACTGTCCAAGTCAAGATACTGCATTTTTCAGCTGAAAATGTATTTGTCCACACTCCCTTGAGAACAGAATGGTGAAACCAATTTCCCTCAAACACTAGTCCTTGGTTCGAAGCCAAATAGGCAGCCCTGCAGCCCTGGAGGAAATCATTTCAGCAGGCCGGAAGCAATTGATTCCAACCAAGAAAACTGTCTGCCCTTTGCCAAGGGTGGAGTACTGGTTCCTGAATGGCACACTGTCCCCACATGTAAGCTCCCTCTGACTTCTGCCTCTCTAATCAAAGTCAAGGATGCCTCACAGCTGTGGAGACAGGGAGTTGAAATGGAACAGGAATCAAGCAAGGAAGATTAATAACAGGGGTAGAGGGAGGAGAGAAGGGGAAGAAAGAAGAGAAGAGAAGCAGAGAAAGATGAATGTGAGCTCCGCTGAGAAGCACATATTCCAGTGCAATCGATGCAATAAACTTCATGGATGCTATATTAGCTGCTGAGTGCTGTGAAGTGAATTGCTTCCAAATTTAAGACTTGAAACAACACAAACCGATAGCCTCACAGTTTATGTAGGGCAGGCATCACACTGCAGATTAGCTGGCTATCTGGTTAAGGGTCACTCCCAAGGGCCTACTACTATGGACTCGACCCAGGGCCTTCATGCTGAGCCACATCCCCAGCCCTCAATTTTCTTTTTAAACTTTGAGACAGGGTCTCACTAAGTCACTCATTTGCTAAGTTGCCAGGGTGGGCTCAGAACTGTGGCCCTTGTGCCTCAGCCTCCCAGAGTGCTGGGATTACAGGTGTGAGCCACCATGCCCAGTTATAATCCAGATGCTGGCTGGGGCTGCAGTCTTGTCCGAAGGTCAACTGAGGAAGAGGCCTTGTCCAATCTCCTGTCTGGTCACTGGCTGGGCTGCTTCGATTGCTGCTGAACTGAGAACTGAAGTTCCCCGCCATGTGGGAATCTGCACAGGGGCGATGACAGAGTGACAGGTGCTTCCTCAGAACAACCACATGAGGAGAAGCAGTGTGAGTGTGACCAGGAGGGAGTCCCAAGCTGTGTGAACTGATCCTGGGAGCAACAGTCCATCGCTTCTGCTCAGCAAAAGCAAGTCGCAGGTGTTGCTGTCTCACAGGGCAGGGCAACGCAGGGAGGCGACATCGGAAGGCTAGAGCATGTTTATGCAGGATCAGTGGCATGATTTTTAACTGTGCTTCATCATCTCATAAACTTTTGTGTTGTGCCTGCAACTGGAAAAATAAAAATGGCACAGTGCTGTCCCCAAGGGGTGGATCACTGGGCCATGAACATAAGCAACTGCTGGTAAGAAGGCAGCGGGAAGCGGCAGGGAGACTTCTGGGGTGCCTGGCACTGTGGCCCTCTGGGTCTGCAGGGCACGTCCTTTGTTCTGGGGACCACAGGTCAACGGGTCACCCCAGGAAGCAGGGGGACAGGTCACACGCATAGGGCCAACCCCCAGCTGAGCCCAGTGAGACCCAAGCCAAAAGCATGAACACTGCTGCACACTCTTCGTGAACATCTGCTCCTGTCTGCTGTTCATAGTTACGGGGAAGAAAACCAGGCAAGTAAACTTTTCAGAGAAAGCATTTGCAGGGTATGAATATATTCACCCAGCACAATCATTTTTTAAGACTAATCCACAGTTGTATGTGATTTCTAAACTCACCCATACTTTCAGAAGCTGTTTAAGTTAAAATTAGTTTTTATTAAAACTTAGTCAAAATTTCAAAACATGTTCAAGTAAGATTCACTCCATGCCTGTAGAGTGCATGTAAAGTCAAAGTGCCTTGGTCTAAACAGATAGATGCTGTAATTCAAACAAAAACTCCAGCTGGTTGCTGGTGGCTGGAAGGCCAAAGACCAGGGAGACCTGGGCGGAGGGAGGGAGTGGAAGGAGTTGAGGGTATTGAGTAAGTCGGAAATAACCAGAATGGCAGCACGAGTGCACTTCCTCAGGACATTCCGCTGACCAGTGCCTCCCGCCTCGGAGATTCTGCTCCTTCGCAGTCTTCTGCGTATAAACTCTCGCTGGGCTTGTGGCACAGGCCTGTAATCCTGGCATTTGAGGCCTGAGGCCGGAGGATCACAAGTTCAAGCCCAGCCTGGGCAACTGAGCAACTTGAGGCCCTGTCTCAAAAAAATGTAAAGTACTGGGGATGTAGCTCAGTGTGAAGGCCTTGGGTTCAACCCCCAGTGCCCACCCCCTACATGCACGCACACGCGCACACACACACACGCGCGTGCACACAGAGGTAGTAACTGAAAATGTGACTGTTCTGATCACGGGGAAGCTCTGCCTCGGCATTCAGACTTATCAGCATTGTGGCCAAGGGTCTTGTACAGCATTTCACGGTAGCGCAGCATCTGAGTTCCGCTCAGCCCATCCTCCTGCATCTGAGAATAATTACCCACTGGTGCTTAGGAGCCAAGCCAGGCTCCACCCTGCACCAGGCACCTTGTGCAAGGGTCAGTCTTCATCTCCCAGTTTTCAGGAGGCTGACGGCTTGTGAGGTGAAGGATTTGCTCAAGATCACCAGCATCTGTGTAGGTCAGAGAAGAGATGCATACCAGACAGTCTCATTTCAGAGTCCACCTCTTGTCTGTCCGGATGTACTCCCTTGTGGGGTGATCTCACAGCCACAGAAAGTTTGAAAAATGAAGGACTGTGTGGCAAGGAAAGAAAGTTTGACGCCCTGATTAACTGATGAATGAGAACTCACAATCTAACTGTGAACGGACACTAAAACCACTGGCTGCCAATCAGCTGCTGAAGAGGATTCTCATCCGGTCCCAAAGTGCACCCCACCAATTAGTTACTAAGTAGAAGGGATGAAAAGGTGACTCTGTAAAGGGAGGCTCTGGCGGTCACCACCTCAGCCGAGGATGAACTTGGCATCATCAGTAGCAGGTCAGATGACACAGTGCACCTCCTGATGTGGAAAGCAGAGGAGAGGCTGATTTAAATCTAAGTGTGAGGAAACCATCAGACAAATCCAATTGTGAAGCACTCTACAAAGCAAGTGGCTTAGATTCTTAAAAAAACAGCTAAATGGAGCTGGGTGTGGTGGCATGAGTGCAGCCTGAGCAACGCAGCAATTTAGCAAGACTCTGTCTCAAAATAAATAAATTAAAAAAGGGCTGGCTCGGTGTGAAGGTCCTGGGTTAGATTCCCAGTACTGCAAATATATATAAACACACAATATATATAAATATTAATATAATAGTGCTGAAAGTGGCACTCAGTGGTAGAGTGTCTGGTACCACAAGTCCTGCCTTTGATCACACACACACACACACACACACACACACACACAATCATTAAAGATACAAACAAAAGCAGGGGTTTGGTTTAGATATAATTCAAATTGCACCTAATTGAATGCCGGCCAGGGAGAAAGCACTCTGATGACTATTTTCAGGAGAACTAAGTGTGTCTGAATAGGGACAATGTCTGGAGAATATTTCCTTACCAATGCTAAGTTTCAAAGTAACAATAGTAGTCCAACTTTCTAGAGGATGGCTGTATTCGTAGGAGATCCATGCCAAAGTATGTTATGATATCTGCAATTCATGTTCAAATGTTTCTGACAAAATAATTGAGAACCCACATATATACATACCCTAATGTTGTAGATACACATTTACAGTCTCTGTGTATGAACAACTGGTAAATCTGAGCAAAGAATATATGAGTTTTCACTTGAGTCTTCCAGCTTTTCTGTAGATTGGAAGTTTTTCCTAATAAAAATTAGGCACAAAGGTTGATTAAAATGTTTGCTCCAAGCGTTGTAGTATTTTTGGACAAACACTAACAGAAAACATTGAAAACTAAAATAATCAATGTGCTAAGATGATGAGATTATTTTTCTTTCACCTGCATTATTCTTACAATACTTTAGCAATCAATCATACTTGCAACAGAGAGTTACAAAGTAAACTGCACTATTGTAGATGAAATAACTTGTCAGTTCCTAGGGCCGTGTTCCTATTAACACTAAGGATTATTATTCTGAACTCAAATTCTAAGGCAGTGTGAAATACGGTTCTTAGTCCTGTCTCAGTGGACTGTGGAGGGTACACAACACTTTCTTTATAGGGGCTGAGGCCTCATTTCCGGTGCTCTGTTCGCAGAACCACCGCGGGCTCCCCAGTTAGAGACGCAGCAGATGGCACCCACTGCTCTGGCACTGGCACTAGGACGGTGAGCAGAGCACTTACTTCCCAATCACCTGTATTCTCAGAGGTGAGTGGCAGTCAAGCATTTGGACCAGCACTGCAAGGTCTCTGACCGAAGTGGCCCATTTTTGCTGAAGTCCAAGGTGCAAGCACGCAGCCGCTGGAAGTCTGGAAAAGACAAGAGGACAGAATGTTGATATTGCCTGCAAAGTGAGACTTTGAAATTTCAATGTCAGAAGTTATTTTTTTCTATTTTAAAACTTAAATGTGAATTTTTTAAAATTTAAAAGTAATTTTAAACATGAAATACGCACACGAAATGATCCAACTAGTGAATTCTACTCCCACATGCCATCTCAACCTTTAATTTTTAAATGAATGCTGGCATCATTTAAAAAAGTTTCCTCTGAGTAGGCGCCAGAAAAGCGGCTATGGGTCAGAACCCCAAGAAGCTGCCAATGGAGAGGACGCAGGAAACCCAATCGTAGGAGATTCCTGAAGGGTAGAGTGACTCACTGGAAACTCGAAAGTTGGCAGTCTGCTGCTAATCGCACTGGGGAGCACCGTGTCCCTGCTGGGATCCAGGTGTGGATCCCTGAGGAGCCCTGGGGTCACAATAACGCTGATCACAGTGCGGTTAGCAGCAGCCTCCCGACCTGGAGACTGAAAGACTGCACTTACACAGGCAGCTCTTCCTGCAGACACTGGGGCCTGTCTGGTCGTGGCTGAGGGTGGGCAGGGGTTTCTGTCTGACCTGTACCCTGCTCGGACTGCACCATGTGTGGCTGGAACCTGCCTTCCCACGCGAGAGTACCCAGGACCCTCTGGTCTGCAGCACCTCCGGCCACGTGTGCCCCCAGCTGAGGGAGGCCCCAACCATCTCTCTAGGAGATCGAGGACAGCAGGGGCTGGCAGGCTTCCCCTCAGCCCTTCCCAGCAGAACAAATCCCTCATCTTCAGAAGGGCGGCGAGTCCATGTCACTGTTTCAAAGCTAGTGTGGCCACAGTCTTTGAGTGGTCTGTGCCTTACATCAAGGTGTCTGGTTCCCTCTGGAATTCTTCCCATCTTGAATTTCACTTCGCTGTTGGCATTGCGCTCCTCTTTCATTGTATAATTTTGCAATTCTAGTTTTGTCTATTCTCTTTATATTTTTATCCTTTTAGGTCATTTTATTTCAACTGTGTCTCATCTAGTACCTTATAGGGCAAATTTAATGCTTTACTTAATTTCAGAATCTATATTCTTTAACTGGGGGAATGTAATCTGCTTCCATTTTGTCTTGGCAGGATGTGGGAGGAGAGTAGTGGGTGACTGGTATATTTGGAACTTTCCGTGTCACCTTATTTTATGTTTTCTTCTCAAGTTATCTCTTTGTTGTTTCCTTTACTGATTTTAACTGACTTAGTTGATCTTATTTTTCCTCTTAGCAATTCTCAGAAGTTGTATTTTATTTCCTTCTAGTAATTCTCTTAAATTTATAAACTACATATATATATATTCATCTTTGTTATCCAAATTTAGATTTAACTAATATGTATCTCTAATTTCTAAGCAGGATAAAGTCCTTTTTTAAATTTAATTCCCTTCTCTTCCTATGCTCTTTGGTGTATTTTATTGGAATCATTTAAAATGTTAATTCCAAATTGCTTTTAATTTTCATGTTTCTATCTTCTTGAGAATCATCTCTTGACAGTTGTTTCAAGCTTCGGGGCTATGTTATTAATACAGTGGATCTTTGACTTACAAACTCGATTTGTTCCAAGGGCTGGTTGTAACCAAGTCAATACAGCTGAGATCTGGATGTTTACCTGGGTATAGATAACAAGAGGCAGATGAATCTTCCATTAACCTAATTAACCCAAGTTGTTCGTATGTCGGGCCCATTGTAATTTTAGGGTCCTCTGTAATTGTAACATTGCTGTGTTTTAGTGTTTGCTAATTGACCCTGGATAATTTACATCACTTGTTTCTCCCAATGAGTTTTATGTTACTAAAAGGATTCCTGGGTTAACTCTTTCAAAAAGACTTCATAGGGAATACACTTTCTGAATTCTTAAGTAAAAATCAGAAGAAGTTAAATGCAAGATAAAGGGAATCAATAGCTAAATGTTTTTGAAAAAAGTTGGGGGTCTTACATTTCCTGATTTCAAAACATATTATGAGGTTACGGTAACCAGAACAGTATATTATAGGAATAAAGACACTTACAGACCATTGAGATAGAACAGGGGACCAAGAAATAACCTGTCACACATATGGCCAAGTGATTTTGGATAAGGGTGCCAAGACCACTCAATGGGGGAAATAATAGTCTTTTTAAAAAATTAATTTCAGTGGTACATTTTAGATGTACATAATGATCACATTCATCATAAGGAATTTGTATCTTGATTCTCCTTTTTTTCCCAAATCCCCTTCCCTCCCTTCAACCCCTCTTGTCCTCCTTATTTACAAAAGCTTTGTTTCCATATTTTGGGGAAAGGACAGTCTTTACTACAGAGTGCTGGGATAACTAGATAGCAACATGCCAAAGAATAAAGTTGGACCCTTAGCTAATGCCACATACAAAAATGAACTCAAAATGGATCAAAGATCTAAATGTACAATCTAAAATTTTTAGAAATATTAGGGGAAAACTCCATGACACTGATTTTGGAAGTTATTTCTTGGATACAACATTCAAAGAATGAACAACAAAAGAAAAATATAGATAAAACAGATTTCATCAAATGTAAAATCTTTCAGGCTTCAAAGGACACTATCCACAGAATGAGAAAGTAACCTATCCAATGAAAAGAAAGTTACATATCTGCTAAGTGTTTAATATCCAGAATACATAAGGCACTATGATTCAACAAGAAGATAAACAACTCAATTTTTAAAATGGGCTAAAAACTTGAATAGCCATTTCTCCAAAGAAGATGAACAAATGGCCAATCAAAACATTAAAAATGCAAATAACAAGGGAAACAGTCACCAGGGAAATGCAAATAATGAGATATTAATGTACTTCACACCCACTAGGATAGCTAGTTATTTTAGAACACACACACACACAGACACACACACACACACACACACACGCCAGAAAATAACAAGTATTGGGAAGGCTGTAAGGAAATTGGAACCGTTTGTTTATATTGCTGATAGAAATGTAAAGTAATGTACCTGCTAAGCAAAACAGTGGTTCTATTTTTGATATTTCTGCAAAAAATTAAACATTGAATTACTTTATGATCTAGCAGTTTGACTTTTCAGTACATAGCCACCCGAGAGAATTAAAGGTAGAACTTAAATGCATATTGGTGAAACTATGTTCACAGTCAAATTATTCACAATAGCCAATAGCTGGAAACAAGACAAGTCTCCACAGATGTGTGGATCAACAAAATGTGACATATACATAAATGGAATATTAATAAGCCTCAAAAAGGAAGTACATTCTGACACATGCTACAACATGGATAGACCCAAAGGATGTTACAGGAAGTGAAATACGTCAGTGACAAGTACTGTGTGATTGTATTTATATGCAGTGCCTATTTCAATGGATGAGGCACTTACATTCAGAGACAGAAAGTAGAATGGTGTTTGCTGGGGCATGGAATATGGCAAGTGAGTGTTTAATAGATACAGGGTTTCATTTGGGGAAGATGAAAAAGTTCTAGAGATAGATGGTGGTGATGGTGGCACAACAATGGGAATATACTTAATGCCACTGGAAAGTACACTTAAAATAATAAAATTTTGTTTTGTATAATTCATCATAACAAAAAATTTCAAGATGGGTCAACAAATGAGTAAGAATCAGATTGAAGTTTTCCCACTGACCACATATCATTCAAGGAAAAATACATTTAAAGATGAGTGTGGTAGGGTGGATATAATTGGGAACCAAGGATTTTATGGGCAGTGAAATTCTTTCTAAAGAAATAGGCACAGGCTCAGAAAATTCTTTATCCATACATTCTTGAAAAAATTCATAAAGAAAAAGAAAAAAGAAAAGTCCATCATGAAAAGGTGAGGTATAAGCAGCAAAGGTAAATTACAAAAATAATAAAATAGTACATATTTGGGTTATTAATCAAATGACTGTCTTAAAAATCTAAAGTTAAAAATAAAAGGATAAAATTAGTTATACTGGTAGAGTGCTAAAATGCAGAAAACGTATAGTAATACTGATAGCCAACAAGATAAAATTCAATATGTAAGGCAAATTTAACCTTATAAGTTTATCACATCATAAATTAAGACAGAAACATTACATGAACACTTCAAAAGATCTGCACTGATACAATTTGACAATGATGATAACTTAAAATACAATATATCCTAGCAAGGTAGGATGGAGAAGAAGTTCTTTAACCTGATATAAGATCTTCTGAAAAACATTATAACATATGTTATGCTTAATAGTGAGATGCTGGGAAATGCTGAGTGCATTCCCTCCAAGAGCAGGATGTCTACCATCACCGCTTGTGTTCAGCCTTTCTCCTGCAGCTATTGGCCAGTGGGTCAGGGCAACATAAATAAGCTGATTAATTAACAAATTAATTAACTAAAATAAATGGTATAAAAAGTTAAAAGGAATGAAAAACCTTGTTATTTGTGGACCTTATGACTTAAATATAGAAACTAACCTCGGGGATAAATTATTAGAATTCCTTAGAATCTTTAAGAAACAGAATTAGTACACAAAACCAACTGAGCTTTTATATACTATAAAAACTTAGGAAATCAAATAAAATCTCATTTATTATCATATCAATATAAATCATGTAGGCATAAGTCCAACAAAAATGCACAAAAATCTTATGGAGAAAATTATAAAGGTTCATTAACTATTGGGATAGACATAAATAAAAGGAGAGAAAAATTAGGAGACTTCTACAGATTTAGCATAATTGCATTCAGTATCTCAAAAGGGGGATCTGTGTGTGTGTGTGTGTGTGTGTGTGTGTGTGTGTGTGTGGTGCATGGTTAATTCCGAAAATTATTGAAAGCATAAAGTGCAATGCACATTTGAAGAAAAATACCAGAGTTGGAGGATAGATAGAGGACTCACTGTGATGGCAGGGGTTAAGACACCGTGTCACGGGCATAGGTAGAGACAAATAGAGGAGTGAGATGGAATAGAAAACCAAACGAAAGATGGCATCTGACAGAT